AACTATTTTTTCTTGTGATTCATATTTTCAGTTCGTCTCATAGAACACATTAATTTCGAAAATACCCAGTAAACCAGCAGCACTTTTTTATGTCTCGATATATAAAATTTCAAGTTGAGGGATTTCAGGTTCTCAGTCACAGTCTGTATCCTGACTACAAGTTATGAAAATGAATGAATGAAATCAATCTGAAAATGGTGTTTTCATTGTACGAGATGTACGGGGTCTTCCTAGAAGGTGTACAAGATGTTAGTACATATTCCTGAGATCAAAAAAAGTCGATTTGAAGCAACTCAGCTCAGTCAAAAATTGTTTCATTTCCAAGAAACTGCTAATTTACTGATCAAATCACATCCACAATGATAACAGCAAAAACCGAAATATTGTGAAAATGGCTAACTGAAGCAGATTTTCACTCGCGTACCTTTTTTGATTAAAACTGTTCAGAAACTATTTTCCTGTAAGAAAAAAGTAAGTAAAAAAACTACCCTGAGAAGAATGCTATGGTCATCCTATCCTGGATATATTATATGCCTCTGATCATGAAGAAGTGGTTCGAATGGACTGATGGAATATTTAAATATATGGTCACAGTTTAGAGAATCATCCTAAACTGTGAATGGTTAAAAGGTAGGTACTCAACTACTCATTTGAACATATTTTCTCTGATAAATATAATGAAAAGAATATATATGAATTGATCGAGTGATGGTATACCACTATAGATCCAAGATGTATCATATTATTGGATGTGAAGCTGAATGCTCTTCGATTGTCTTCAAAACTGTTGGTGTTCAATTCCAGAAGAGAAATCAAGTGGATCATTGAAATCCACATATGCTATGCATATTTACTCACATATTTCAGGAAGTTAAGAAAACTACTAGTCTTCATTATTAACTACCATGTTAGGATTGAGAAATTGATTCTTAATTCACATTTAACTATAGTTAGCTTAGTTTCCATCCTTATTATTAATAAAGTGTGCAAGTGAAGACTTTGCAATACATAGTCAGATACATAGTTACAGTTGCAACTGTAAATTAGACAAATGTTCAGGAAAAAAAAAGTTTTTCTAGGATGGCGGTTCAGACGAGTCGAAGGAAGTTTCACAGGAACCATTTTATTCACAGAAAAGTGTACATGCTGCTGATCCTCTGATGAAGTAGAAATAAATGAGCCATCAAAAATGGATGAAAAACCACAGGATGATTATGTTGCTGAGGTTTCATCGAATACCTGTTATACCAATTCATAATACTTGAGGATTCACTAATGTTATACTTTTTGTGCATTTTATTCTGATGAATTATTTTCCACTGAGCTTATTATTCCAGTTTTGAGGCTGTGCACAGCTTTTCGAAACATGATTTTCAGAGTAGAAATATCCAAAGCTGACTGTCAGTGTCTACTACTACGCCACTGGATTCTACGTGAAAGCACGTATAAAGAGAAGTTTTCACTTTTTCGATAAGTCCTAAGATAACTGAGATACAAGGGGGTCTCAAGATTCAACATTTTCAATTTCGCTCTACATCTCAAAAACCAAGTTTCACGAAAAAGTATCCAAAACATTCGCGAAAACCTAAAAACTCCATCTTATATAAATTATAGATATCCCGTATAAGGACATCGAAAATGGTACAGCCTGTACAAGTATTTCACATGAAGAAGATACTATCGTGATTTCAGAAATTCGGAGAAAATTTGATAATTTTCGAAGTTTGTTTACATTTGCTATGCATTTTCAATTAGTAACGGTCAGGTCAATGCAAAATTTGACGAACATCCTCGAACAGTTTATGCATGATAGATTATGTGAATTATTTGTGAAAAATATCTCTAATGGTACTTTTTATGCACATACAAGTCGGCAAAGTTTGCACGATTATAGCATAAAAATAAAGACAATTTGTTTGATGTTCATTTGAAATATCTACCTAAATCTAACGAAGGAGTTTATCAAGGATCGATGCAAAAATAACGGGTTCATATACAAGGTAGACACACTGTATCAATTCAACATTCAAGTCTCATCCGGTTAATATGAACTGCAACCAATAATTCGGTTCCGTGCAATTGAGATTATATTATTATCTACTGCTGTAATGATTTGATCACCTATCATTTTGTCTAAACTACTAAACACACAAAACGTTAAACGAACAATCTCCGATCAAATTCGAATTCGAAGTGCAACTTCAGATTGCTGTTTATGATTTTCAAACCTTTCTCATACTAGCGAAGGACCCCAAATTATTGAAATATAATAATAATAATAATAATAATAATATAATAATAATATGCTTCATTGTCTGAAGAAGAATCTTGTTGACAAAGCTAGGTCAGATAATATTGTAAAAAGAGGTTAAAATATAACGACATAAAAATACGTGACAAACTATAGTCAAAATAAATACCACATTGAAATACTAAAATATCACAACTCAAACGTATCACTATAATATTCCTGCAAACTGTAATAGGGTCTATCAGAGAGGAACTTTTTGACTTTCTTCCTGAATTGACAGTCATTCAGACTTGCTGATCTAATATCAACTGGCAAGTGGTTGTACATTTTTCCACCATTATAGTACATTGAATCTTTAATAAAATCTCTTGTGGGTAGAGGAAGTTTCAAACTGAAATTTTTGTTACACGTGTTATGATGGATGGGAGTTGTAGTGAATTTTAACTTGTGCTTATTTATCAGACAAACAGATTCCAGAATGAATAGTGCAATCACTGTCAATATTTTATTATTGGAAAATAAAATTCTGCAAGAATCTCGAGGTTTCACATTACACAAATACCTTATCGCTCGTTTCTGTAGAATTAACAGAGTTTTTAAAGACGTTGGACTGCACACTCCCCAAAAAGGTATTCCATATCGTAATTGGGAATCTATTAGTGAATAATATACCATCTTGGCAGTATGGAATCCTAATTCCCTAGGAATCACTCTCACTGCATAACATCCAGAAGAAATCTTACCAGTGAGTATCTTGACGTGGTTACCAAATTTCAGATTTTAGTCGATCAACAATTCCAAAAACTTAGTATCATTTCTACATTCAATAAAATTATCACCAAATGTGATTTCATCAAGGGAGGATCTGAATGATATTATACTGCATGGTTTCAGATATATTGAACGACAGAATATTGGCGTCACACCAATCTTTCACCTTTTTCAAATCAGATGATATCATTTGATGCAGATCTCGAGGATTCCTACTATTCCATAATATAGTAGTATCATCTGCGAATAGAGTGAACTCCCCAGTTATATCAATTTTCGTTAGGTCGTTGACATACAATAAAAAAAGTACAGGTCCTAACATAGATCCCTGTGGAACACCATGATCAATATTTCTCTTCTTGGAGAGTTCTGTCGTTTTGACCACTTGATTTCTTCATGATAAATATGATTCGAACCATCTGTATGTCATTCCTCTGCATCCATACTGATGAAGCTTTCTCAGCAGTATTCCATGATCAATACAGTCGAATGCTTTTGATATGTCACAAAACACCGCCGCGGAAATCTCACCTGCATTTATTTCCGAATAAACTTTATACAGAAATGAGAATATTGCATCGTGCGTGTTTTTGTTTTTTTGAAAACCAAACTGATTGTCACTAATAACATTGTGGGATTTCAAAAATTCGAAGAGTCGTTTTTTCACCAGTTTTTCAATGATTTTGGCAATAGTTGGAATTAAAGAGATCGGCCGAAGATTAGATGGATTATCTATGTCTCCGCCCTCATGCAAAGGGATGACAACAGAAGTTTTCAGTTTAATATGATATAATATTAAAAATATCAGACAGAATTTTGTATCATACTACAAGTATTCTTTCCCGCGGCACTGCATCAAATCAAGTCAACAGATTCTTGTAACTAATGAAACGAGCATTCATGCAGGATCATATAGGGTGAGTCATAACTATTGGGACATAGGCTAAGGACGGATTGTTTGGACCAAAATATGGCGATAGGACTAAATATGCCTCTATGGAATATTGCTGGGGAAAAAGATACAGGGCGTTGAAGTTGACTTTTATTTTCGTTTTTTGCCAATAATTTCACTGTATATTCATCAATTGGTATCAAAATTGGCACAGAGGCATAATTTCATACAGGGAATATCATTCTATGAACTATTCTACAATTTTATACGGGGGGCGCCACGTGAATGATTCTTGATGATGAAATCGCCTGGTTACTTTTTTTGACAAAACTTTTGAGTGATTTTGATTGGAAAATATGACCTGAACATCATTTCTACGTAATATTGGTACTCCTGGTTGAACACGATATTTTCATCCGTTTTTGAGAGAAGTGCTATTGAACAGTTCAGAGTCTCAGAAGTTAATTACAAATATTATTTAATTCATGAAGAGTGTGGTTTGAACTGTCAGATAATGTTGCTGGTAATGGCATTTCTTATCAGAGAATGAATTTAGGTGCAAGTTCATAGTCAAAATTTTTTCGATCGAAATGCCTCGTCACAATCATTTTATGAATTGATAAATGCGAGATGCAACCAGAAGGTATGAATTGTAATATATCTAATATCTAGACAGAAAGCAACCAAATCACAAAACTTCTTCAAATATATTCCATATACAGTGAAATTATTAGCAAAAAACCGACAAAAAACTAAAAAAAATCAATTTTAACGCCCTGTATCTGTTTCCACAGCAATATTTTATCAAGGCATGTTTGGTCCAATCGCCATTATTTTGGTCCTAACACTCCACCCTTAGCCTATGTCCCAATAGTTATGACTCACCCTGTATAAGTAATTGGAAAATCGATAGTGGCAATGGAAAGTTCCAGTGATACAAATTTGATCGAAAGTTTTGAATGTTACGTTTCGAGTGTTGAGCAGTTTATTTGAAAAAAATTATATCATCATAATTTAGCACTTGAGCAACGATAGATAAGTATTACACAACATAGCCAAAGTTCAAACAATACTTTTGGTTTCCAGCAAATGATCTACTATGGCACCGAATGAACTATCCAGTTGGATACAAAAATCATTGAATGACAGATATTTTGGAGAAAAGGAGATTAAATTCGAAAACAGTAATGGTAAGACCGGAGGATACCTTGGTAGTCTCCTGTTCGGCAAAATAAGAGGCAACAATCCTGATGGAGAATCTGAAGATGTAGACATCGTCGTGAAATATGGAAAGAAAGATGATAAGGAATTTTTGAGAATTGCATTCCACCGTGAAGCTATGGTTTATGAGAAAATCGTACCACTTTTTATGGACCTCCAAAGGAAAAAAGGAATACAAATGCCCTTTGATTCTGTCCCCAAGTGTTACCAGACTATTGAAAATCAGAACTTGGAGGCGATAATTCTTGAGGATATGAGGAAGAGTGGATACCGCCTTCACAACAGAACAATACCAATGGACCTACCACACCTAAAGTTGATTCTTGAAAATTATGCCAAATGGCATGCTCTATCCTTTGCAGTACGGGACCAAAATAATGGGGAACTAGAAAGTAACAAACTGACTAATGTTGCGAGGTATTACTTTCGAAAGGATTCCACTCGGAAGCTTCTAGTTAAATATACAAAATATGCTCATCAGATATTACTTGAGAAAAATGAGCATTTTCTAGCAGACACACTAGAACGAATACTCCAAAAGGGAGTTGCTGATACCATCTTGGAAGTTTTGAATTCTGATGTTGATGAGTGTGTGATAACACATGGTGATGGCTGGAACAATAATTTCTTGTTCAAGTACGAGGTGAGTACTTTGAAAACAAAATCGAAAACGGCTGAATGACTCTCAATCGATCTTGGTACATGATTTTCTCTTTAAAATCCTTATTTTTTGAGAATATAGTTATCTCGCTCATTTCTATCAGTGAAGAACTATATGAAATTAAAATAATGGTCAATATTGTTGAAAAAACGAATGACCTTCGAATTAACTATAATGAACATTTTTAAAAAAGGAGAATACACTAATGTAGACTAATAATAGTTATTTATTATACAAGGGAAAAAAGTATTTTTCCCGTGTATAATACAATATTTTTTTCTGTGACAGATGAAAGGACGAATCAATATTGAGAAGATATATTACATTATTTTGACATCTGAAAAATATCAACATGAAATTTTAAGTTTTGGGACACCTGCGTTGTAGGCATCTTTATAATTCTTTCGAAGTAATCAAATATCTGATGTCACTTCTGTCAGTCTAATTCTGTAATATGATTTCAAAAAATTGCGAATTTAGTGGTTTTTTAGTAATATACGTAACCGGGAAGTCGAATGGGAGATAAAAGGACTCGCAGTTCTTTCTCGGAGACGATATTATTGACTTATTTTTCGGAACTATAGCACAACAAAAGCCATCAATAGTGTATATTTATATATGTGATATACAGGGTGTCCCTAGACCAGTGGGACAGTTAAATATCTTCTGAACCAATAGGAATTTTCAAAATATTATAATGCCACATCATATCGCAATATAAGTGCTAACTTCAGGAATGACTATATTTTATACGAGGGGCGCAAGAAAGGCTCACAAAATCGAACATCAATTTTTTCAAATAGAACACCCTGTATTCCATTGCATTTTCATATTCTCCTTGAAGAGCTGAGTTCAACGACCTAGCACACTTGAGGTCTAGCAAGAATGATTTCCGAGATATAGGGTGTGGAAAATCGCGAATTTTCCTTTTTGGGAATTTTTTGTGTCGAAACTATTCATCATTGGTCAAAACGGCTTACATGTCCATATCTTAACTTTTGATTTACTATTTACTCGTATTTAATTGAAACAAATACAGGGTGGTGTAGAATTAACAGTTTCAGTCAGAATTCTACACCACCCTGTATTTATTTCAATTAAATACGAGTGAATAGTAAATCAGAAGTTAAGATATGAACATGTAAGCCGTTTTGACCAATAATGAATAGTTTCGACACAAAAAATTCCCAAAAATGAAAAATCTCGATTTTCCACACCCTATATCTCGGAAATAATTCCCTTTAGACCCTAAGTGTTTTAGGTCTGTGAAATCAGCTCTTCAAGGAGAATATAAAAATGCAATGAAATACAGGGTGTTCCATTTGAAAAAATTGATGTTCGATTTTGTGAGCCTTTCTTGCGCACCTCGTATAAAATACAGTCATTCCTGAAGTTAGCAATCATAATGCGATATGATGTGAAATCATAATATTCTGAAAATTCCTATTAGTTCAGGAGATATTCAACTGTCCCACTCTGGTCTAGGGACACCCTGTATATCTGGGAAAAAAGTACTCACTTTTCTCCACGGGAAAAAAGTAATTTATGAAAAGTGACATTTTATAACCTGCCAACAGAGAAAAAATGCCAAACTTTTTTCCCGTCACAGAAAAAACAGATGTATTAGGACGTTACTTCAATTATTACAATAATTTCAGTTTGACGTATCCTAATGGATGATCATATTATGGCGACATGGCGAAAATGAAAGACAAATATGGAAGAAAAAAAACTGAGTGTCTATCTTAGTTTTCTCAATATCGTGAGTTATTTTCGGATGCTTTTTTTAAAGTCAATGAAATCATTGGCAATCTTCGGGGACCGATTAGGGTATGGAAAATGTTCTGACAATATCGTCTAAGTAATGATTTTTGGATTTCTAAGCCTATCAAGCATCGAAATGTCAATGTATTCGGGCCACAGCATGTATTTCAATAAAATGCAATTTAACAGCCAATTAATGAACAAAAAGCAGATTGTGATACATAGGTGAATAGAGAATTTTAAGGCGAATAAGGTAGGCTACAGATATATACAGGATGCCATTTGAAAAAAAAGGTTGGGTCTCTACTTCCAATCAAACAAGTGGTTGAAGAAAATTGTCATTGGGTTCAAGAGAAGCGCCATCATCGATAATATAACACTTGTGGATTTCAATTTTTATCTCTTCAAATACAAAAACTACAAGCTGTTACATGTCTCCTGTGTCACCCGGTATAATATTCTCGCAAAATATATGAGTGGTGAGTGACACAATATGAAAATTCCAGGTTGTTTTGTTGAAGTATTTATTAAGTTTGTAGAAAATCATCCATCAAATTGCACTATTTATTGTGAAAATGAAGAAATATTGAAAAATAATAATTGATTGTTCCCCCTATAGCCTCTAATTGATATGATGTGGGAAACGATTGTTGTTATGTCAATCAAAACACAAATTAGTTAGTGTAATTCTCAGAGTGACAGACTGAGCGTTACTGTCATTTTCGATTCAGTGGAATTGCGATAAAAAACTTGCAGCTACAGATGCGATAGAGATGAGTTATTACTAACGAAGTATAAAGAAAGGTATAAGAAATACTACACGAGATTTATTGAATGGTGCAATAGTAAAAAAAGTTAAATCACCAAATAAAGAAGAAATATTTTTGGCTCATTTCCTATAAATGTCTGAGACCTAGAGGTCAAACGCAATGAGCATTACATCCCAGCGAGCACAAACATCCCTGAGATGTTTTGGGATGTTTTGAAAATGTTGGCATGAAGATGTTATTTCGAGACGTAATATGCACTGACCAAAGAGGTCTTAAAAGGATATTGAAAGTATTGTTTTTGTTCTTCTGTGGCATCTCTTTGTTTGCCTACTGAGAGGTATCCCTGGGATGTTTTGGGATGTTTTAGAAATGTAGGCATGAGGATGTTTTTTTGAGGCGTAATATGCACTTACCAAAGAGGTCTTAGAAGGATATTGAAAGTATTGCTTCTGTTCTTTTGTGCCCTTTCTTTGTTTGCCCCACCACAACGTCTCATGCTTACGTCACAATACGATGAATTCTGATTTGTTTTCGATTTTGTTCTTCTTGTTCGCAATTGGCATTCGCGTTTGCAGCGTGTCACGCTTAGATACATCACGCTGCTAACGAACAGAAAGGAGTTTGGTGAAGTTTATTGTGTTAGAAGACTTATTTAGTTTGTAATAATGACCATCAGATGCAAGATGTATTGTTCGGTGCCTCAGTGTAATCAATATATAAAAGTACGAATTTATCAATACACAGCTTCTCCGCAGTTGCAAAATTATGCATCGTGGAGAACATTTCAAAAATTGGGAAACCTATTTCCAATTATATGTCTGTGTGTAGTAAGCACTACTCAGAGGTAATTTTATATCAAGAAAATATTTTTATGTTCAATCTATTTTTAATGCATTTTTTCATTCAAGGGAAATGGAATCCTAATGCAAAAGTTCATTTTGACAAAAGGCTTCAGAAAAGTACCTCGAAATTGGTTTCTTTACAGCGATTTAATGTGCGCAAGACGCGTTGAAAATGTTTTGTTGTGTCTATGAAAAGGCTTTGAAAAGAACTAGGGAGAAGGTAGTTTTGTGACATATCAAGGACATCTCGATAATTGCCGCCTGCGGCGGACATTGGCTGTTCTATAATAGTTCTATTCATGTGTGAACAGAACATCGCAGTGGAGGTTCAATGTCCCGAAATCTCGTACTTTCAACATCTCTGATATGAGATGTTTTTGTGCTCGCTGGGATAATGCTTCAAACGGTATACACAATAGATATATCACTTATTATCAGAAGATAGAGGCTATATCACTATTGTTAGTTATTGTTCCTATTTGCAGGAATGATTGATTGAACGAATCAAACAATTTCCTACGGTTATGGAATGAGAAAGTATCACTCTCCGCACTTTTTTGTAAAATTACTATTATTGTTTCAAACAATTTCCTAATTAGGTTCAGGATATAAGTACAATAAATACATCATTTTATTACGACATTAATGGATGTTAATTGTTTCAGGAAAACAACTCGAATATTCCTACAAAACTGGCAATCATCGATTGGCAGCTAGCATCTTTACACTCTCCAGCTCTGGATCTATCTCTACTCATATACACTTCTTCCTCAAAAACTGAACTTTCACATTTCGAAGAACTATTGAAATTCTACCACTCAACTCTAACAAGTTTCCTGAAAGAACTAGGAAGCAATGCCGAGGATATCTTCAGTTTTTCCCAACTGAAAGAACATTGGTACAGATACTCAGTCTTCGGGTTTTTGTGGTCATTGACATTCTTGAGAGTCGTTTTATCAGAAGATGATGGTTCTCCTGAGGAAGATATGTTTGATCTGATTATCAAAAATAAATCTGACTTCGATGAAAGGCTCATTGCTTTAGTGAAGCACCATTTTCTGTTCAGATTCACGTAGGCACTGATATGGAACAGGATATATCCCTTTTTTGCTTGGGGTTTACTTCGTAACAATAAGGCATAAGGCCTGATTTATCAAACATTGCTGCCAGAATAGTACACTAGAATTATTAGCTCTCTTCTATAAAACACAGAGATATTGCTTCATTCTGCATGAACATAAAATAAAACTACCATAATTACGTTTTTACTCCATTGTATGAAAGTCAATCAAGTTCACGGAACATGTGAAGTGGCTAATAGTAACGACCGGGCGTAAATTAGCACTTTACCGCTCGGTTTGGCGGGCGTAAAGTGGCTTACCAGCCCCGCCCAGTGTATAGGTGACTCGTAATAAGCATTCCTGTAGAATTCAAGACATCTATGTCAAAGATGTGATGGTTCATTATCTAATATAACAGTTCTCTTGATATTTCGGATGCAAAATGATGTGATCGAACCCAAAATGAAGTTATCTGTGATAAATTGACAGCAAATAAAAGTCTACTCCTACTCCGAAAAATTTACTAAGTTATTATGGTAACGTCGTTGATTCCATCAATGATATTCCTACCTGCAACCATGATGTGCTTGAGAGGTGAAAAGGTATTCACAATGAAAAATCAAATATACTGGTCGAGCATAAAATGTTGTAGGTATAGTTCGGGCGTAACTTCCTGGTTATGGACCTAGGTGTGTTAATATATCTACGATCCATTAAAGCATATTTTACGCCAAACATATCTAACAGCATTACCTTTGAAGGACAATGCCTATCTCTATAATAATTGTTTGACTAATTTTATTGACTTATTTCATAGCCAATGCCTCTGATTTCAGATAATCTGTTACAGCCTTCTGGTAGTATTGCGATATTCGTAACATCATGATATATACGAAAATCAGTATAACAGTGTAAAGTAGATTCCTGTATGACTGTATATAGGGATATGTAAGGTATATAAGTTGTCAACATTTATATAAAATTGGCATTCTATATTTTATCGAGGAAGAAATATATATTTAATCCAAATTCCTGAATATTTTTGTTTACATGTTCATCTTTAGTTTTTATTTATTTCCTATCAACATTTCCAAAAATTGGTACTCAAAATGAGTACCAAAATAATCACTTCGCTACCACAGATTAACAAACCTTATTTGTTTTCTACTGGACCTTGTTTGGTAGTGGTTTGATTTTATTAGTAGGTGATTCCTGGTTTCCTAAAGATCTTGGCTTCATGCCCTTTTTTCGTATATCTACTGAATGAAGATGAACACTAAACTCTCTTCTGAGCAGGGAGCAGGTGTTTGTAACCCCTTATTTCCTAAAAAAATCTCATTTCGTAACTTATATCAAGTATTGAAATAATCTACTTTTTGAGAGTGTCATAAATAAACACTACTTACTGAATGTCCGTCAATTATTTGAAATGTTTTTGAATTAGTTACCTATACCTATATAGTGCATAAATTCACAAATGTCATCCTTTTCATTGTTTCACTTATAGTTGTGAGCACTCGGTATAGTTTTCGATATTGAAACTGGGATTTGCAGCAATCGATGAAAGATAATGGAAGTATTATTTGTTACATTCGTACAAAATGCTTGATATGCTTTAGTCATCTTTGGGATCTTATCGTAGTTGGTTATGGTGAAGGAGAATCTTGGAATAAAAGGTGGATGCCAGGTTGTAGAGCATTCGGAGTACTATAGTTAATATAAAAAGAATGTACCTATTGAAAGTTGGCCAATATGATATCTATAGTAGTTCTAGTATAATGATGGTACCTGTAGCGACATCTCACGAAGCTGAGAGTTAGTTATACATGCAATACATAATACAATGCAATGCAATCTTTGATACATGTGAACATTATTACATACCTGATCACCACGAATAGGCACCTACTATACCGACAAGACTCGTACAGCTGCATACGGTACCGCAGAAGAACTTCGGCTTCTGGTTAAGTGATGGCGTTAACGTTCAACTATTTCAGAGATTATACAAGTGTATAATCTCTGACTGGTTCAGTGATTATAGGGGAGTGTATAATCTTTGAGTGTATAATCTCTGGTGTATTAGGAAGCATGAAGCATAGCATCATCTGGCGGTGAAAACTGAAATATCAGGGCCGGTAGTTCTGAAAATGAATGAAGGGTAACCAAAAAACCGAAATAATCGAATTTTTCTTTCGTGATATCTCAGGAACCGGCCCTGATATTTTCGATTAGTTTTCTCCGTAAGATGATGCTTTCTGATACGCTACTCTCCATTTATCTGACCTTCTACATCGTCCCCGAAAAAGAGAACTATATGTATTTTTCGTTGATCTACAAAATAATAATTTTTCGTTGATCTCTATATGAAGAAACAAATTTTACGTTCTAATTTCCGAACGAAAAAACGAATATTTCCAAAGGCAAGTACTTTTTCTCCGCAGACACTAACTTTTCGTTCGCAGACACTAACTTTTCGTCTGCAAACACTCTTCGTTCACTGCAGGGTTGCCAGATCTACTGAATTTTCAGTAGATCTCCTGAATTGCATATTGATCTACTGATCAACTGAAACATTTCATAACCTACTCAAAATTATTTTGACACTCATTAATAATTATAAAACTCTATATTTCAATTGATCTTCAGTTAATCACATACCCCCTTCTGAATTGCATAATATCTCAGCACGCTCTGTTTAAATTAATTTTACATAACAAGTAATGAATTTTCATATTGGTACTCATGAAATATATAAACCAGGAAAAGACAAAAGACAATAACTTCATCTGATTCAGATCGGATTAAATTTTGTATATGAGTACGTATGTTATAATATATACTAAAAATTGAAATATACTAAAATCTTATTCATTTATTTATTTATTATATTTCATCCCTACAGACCACACAGGTCTCTTTACAGGGACAAAAATGTTAATCAATATACTAATACATTAATACTAAGATATAAGGAAGGTTCTAGATGTAGTTGTATGTATGTTGAATCTAACCTATGAATTTAATAATAATAACAATCATGTCTGAGGAAGAGGGTTAAACATTTTGTATAGTTTTTCATAGTACGCATAGAAGTCAGTCTAGTTCAAACAGAGATATTTATGAGGTGATGTGTAATTGCTGATCGAAATGCATTTTGTGAGGTTGTCCATTCTAAATCCAGAAAGGCATTGAATTCATTTGCTAGCCTCAACATGGCCACAAGCGGGGGTCTTGTAGTAAGCATAAGAGGAATATTAAACATTGCAAATGATCGTGTGATTAGTGAGAGTATTTCAGGTAAATTGATCTTGTTATTTATCAAATTATGCAAAAAAATCAAAACAGTAAGATTTCGTCTATTTTCCAGTGACATAATTTTAAATTCATTTCTCAACTGATACGATCGAATTGTTTTATAGTCTGCACGTTTATTATATTTTTTAAAATAAATGAATCTCAGAAATTTGTTTTGTATTTTCTCTAACTAACTCAATCTAGTGTGGTATTAGGATGATAATTAGGACTATGATTTTTTTTTATTATGGGAATGTTTGTTTTGTTGGTTTCTTTTTTGTTGGAAATATTTTACTTTTCTATTTGCTGAAAGTAGGTACATAATGTTTTGACGTAGGTTCATTTCATTATCCTTGCTTGGAATTCGTATAGCATGAAATAGATCTGAAATTTTGACAAGGTATTTACTGATGAAATGAAAATCGAACTGGCAACCTTGGTCCGCGCGGAGAGTGAATTGACAGCAACTGTCGATTGCTGTTGTAAAATCAATTATTCATGAAATCCAATAGATTTCACATGTGAATAGGACCGTGATGGATATAAGTGTTTGAGGTCGACGAAAAAATATAATATGCATCTCGGCGAAAAACTGTTTATTGTCTTGCCTGATTGCTAGTCTCGGCTGAGGCCCAATCCACTAAATTTGCAAGTTGAAAATCAAATCACAGAATTGACAGAATTAACTTGACAGATATTTAATTAATTCAGCGATCCCGTGACAGAAAAAATTGTGTAATGAATTATGCACAGGAAAATATCAGATTAGAGCTCTAGATAGTTATCAATCTGCTCTCCTATAATCTTCAATAGGTAACTTTTTATTGACATCTAGAGAAGGTTCCTATCCAGAACAAAAACCGACATAGAGCCATACACATCAGGCAATCCCTGAACTACAGATAGTAAACACTAGTATATGAAGATTTGGCCCAAAATGCATCATAAAAAAGTTGCTGGCTCAGGAGATACAATAAGGTGTTCAAGGGGAAGATATAGTTTTGAAATTTGTTAATATCCTTGTAAGTTTCCAACAGCATGAAAATAAAATTTGATATTTTCAGATTTCCTGACTTATTGAGTGATTGCTCAAAGAGGGCATTAGTGGCACTATCTGTTACTTCATTAAATCATCATATCTATACTTCGTTCAAAGAATAATGGTTGAAATAAAATAAGTTGAAAATTTGGAAACCTGATGGTAATTTTACACACAAATGTACTTTTTTTCCAATTATCTAACTCTGTGTTTCATTAATAACATTCTTATTGATATTTTTATTATTTCAATACATGAAATTAGCGAGGTGACGTTGGAAAAAAGACCACTAGCACCTTCTATGTTATGATGCCTATATATGAGCAATCACTCTTATTGTACTAATTCCCATTTCAGGAAACATGTTCATACTGTTTAAACTTGAACACTCTGTATCACCTAAACCAGCATCAGTTTTATCAGGCAATGAGCATGTTGGGCCAAATCTCCATATCATATCTTGATCACTTTGTAAATTTGGTAGTTTCCTACAGAAGGATTCATTGGCGATCAGACAAATTGAAATAGTTATTTCATTTTGATCGAATGGTCTTTCAAACTCTGGATCTAGATTCAAAATCAATACAACTGTTTGTAATCGAATTTATTTTTATTCAATATTTCATTGGTGATATAACTACTTCCCTTGTTTGAGATAGATGAATTTCTGTCGAATCTATATTGAAGCAACTGCGGCGTCAATGCCATTTCCTGAAGTTTCAACACAATGAACATTATTTTCCATAATATATATGGTGGTCAGTCACTGTGTCCCAAATTGGTTTCTCTTCAATTTCAGATTATATATACTTCAATTGCGTAGATAAAATATCTCTGAATATAGAAATCATATAGCTTCAAAGCTTTAAATTTTGTCAACCCTCTTGAAATAAATGGAAGTCCATTCGTTAGTCCATACACAATCTTCTGGGACCTTTCAAAATATTTTGGACGATTCTCGAACATTTTAAAACATTCTAGAATCTTCTGGAAGATTCTATAACACTCCAAAACATTCAACATTTATTATCTTCATCTTGATTAATTATTTAAATTCTAAAAATTCTAAATTATCTTCCAACGTTCTCGGACAATCTGAAAAAATTTTTCTGGGACATTTTGAAAATATTCTGGAATCTTCAAGAACACTCAGGAAGGAAAGGGGCTCTTTTCCTAGGGTTCCCAAGGTTCCTAATAAGATCGTATTTTTCTAGGATAAGATAATTTCAACTATGTTTTTATCGTGTATGAAACGGCTATTACACAAAATTCTCTTGTTTCAGTGTTTTCGATAAATCGACGAGGTAGGTACATTTCATGTCTGACAAAGGATCAAGAGAAAATCAGATGGCTGCACGCCGAAGGAATGAACAATTTCTCTTGGGCAACCGGCAACTGCTCGTGTTGACTACATTCTTTATTGAAAAGGAATCTTCTCAGAATTGATTTGGGTTTTCTCAATACAGAATTTCTTTCCAGGACCTGTGAGATGAAGATCAATTCATCATATCATACTATCAATATTATTTATTTCTTATGTACTACTCTTTTGAAGTACCTCCCTGGATCAGTTGATCAGTAAGTTGATGGAATTTGATAGGAGTTTCTACACCATCTTCTGTTCATCCTGCTTTCGAGTAATCGAATGAGACCTCGTCGTCAGTCGTCACGGCAACCACAAATCTGAATAGAACTTAGAACAACATCATATGGAGATGCCAGTTTCATATAGGTAGTGGAATTGTCTCAATAAAATAAACAATTTGTGAACAAATCGTGTTCACAATACGATCGAAAATTCTGTCAGAAATCTTGATCTCGATAAAATTGCTTCGAGGTCTCTGTTCGAGGAAACACCACGAGTCCGCAGGACGAATAGTATTGTTGCTAGCACTCATATGGTTTAACCCCTGAAAGTACCGTTGAAGTGTCGCAAAAAACAGTGCAAAGATGTATTATGGACGTGTTTTTCTAGCCAGAATACAGAGATATACCCTTTAGGTATATGCGAAAAACCAATTTGGGTCACTTTGAGTTGATGAATAATTACCTATACCTTTTACACTCATGATATATATTAAGCTTCATCATAATTGTCGTAATCTGTGTTATCATTGCTGTCAATGCCGTATGTTTTCCTGGCTTCTCCAGACGGATCGTACTTTTCGCATATTTCGATAAACAATGGCCTGTATTTGAGCAGCAATTGCTGAAGCATCACACCAGCTAGTTTCTTCTGTTTCTCGTTACATTTGCTGCATTTAGTAGCTATGGCATCAGGAATCACCTCTGCAAAAATACGTGGAATGAAATATTAGAAGATTCGAGAGCAGTAAATTATGATGTATAGGTATTTGACATTGATTCGTCTCACAGTTCAACCCAAGGATGGCACAATTTTGACTCACTTTAAATGGATTGAATGATTTAAAATTTGGCAGGTGCACATAATTCTGGTGAAAATGCATTATGAAATTTTTGTTACACAAACAACAAGATGGCTGATCCAAAATGGCAGATCAGTATTGTAATTTTGATCCGATTCAATTCAATATTCGTATCTGAGGGTTTTCGAGGTAGGAGATTATGATTCTTTTGTCAACATCGGTGAATTCAAGATGACGTTTCCAATATGGCAGACGAGCTTTGTGATTATCATCCGAATCTATTCAAAATTTGTATCACCGGGTTTTCGGGGTCGGAGACTATGATTCTTTCGTCACAATTTGGAAATTCAAGATGACGGATCTAATATGGTGGACGAATTTTATAATTATATGATCCGATTCTATTCCTAATTGGCATCTGTTATTCAATAAAAAATAAACCATTTACAAACTCCCACAACCATAAAAAGATTTAATATTATCGATCTCTGATCTCTAGCTAGTATTGAGATAAAAATAAAAGGGGTCTCCCCCGGGAATCACCTGTCAAGCATTGCTAGTGGAATTCCGCAACACCCTGTATTAATACAGATATTTAAGTTATTAAATGAACATTTTACAATCCCAATTCACTCGATCTTCAGGAAATTTGAAGTTAGGTATCATATTTTCCATGAAGGAACAAATAATTAATGGATCCATTTAGAAGACAAATATTTTCCAATTGAATTGTTCTGCTTAACGATAACAAATTGGATATTTTTCCTCTACTTATACCTTTCTATAGTTTCTACGTACTGGACAGTCGATGACTAACAATTATATTGCAAAAAATTAATTACCATACGTGTCTTGTTCTCAATCCATTAATTGATTGAAAAAACACAAATAACATATTAAATTTAATAACACATAGGAGGTCAACTGGTTTTTTTATTCATGGATATTTTTATTGACGTAGAACAAATTCGATGAACTGGAAGGAACCATACATCCAGTGAGTTTTTGTAAAATTTGAATAATTATAGTTTATTATTATTGACAAAAAATTTTACATTCTCGTCGCTGAAATATCTTGTCCGCATAACAAACGTCATGATAATAAATAACATCCCTGGGATGTCACATTCATGTCTGGCAAGATAACAAAGCGAAATACAATTGAACATTTGCAATATTCGTCTTATTCGAAAAAGAAGGTGAATTTGGGAAGATTTTTAACAAAAAAGAGAATCCATGAAACCTTCGAAAAAACGAACGCCCATGATAAATGACGGGAGAAAAACATTTACTTTCTAAAATAAGTATTCATTTATACTGGGCGATACAAATTCGAGGGCCACCATTGAAATCTCGGAAATGCGAAGATGATTGAATCTGGGCATAGATCTAATTATCTATGATCTGGGCAAGGTTACGCATTTATCTACAAGAAAATTTTCAGATTCTGACTATAGGCACAAACTGAAATCGGTGATAGATCCCATCATTTTGATCATAAAAATGTATATAAACATTAGTCCGATCTCGTTCAGTAGCGGAGCTACAGGGGGTCAAAGTTTAATTATTTTTTTCTATTAATTGAAATATCTCGCTTACTTTTCAAGCTATCATTTTGAAATTTGATGTGGTCAATACTTCCTAAAAGATCACCATTTCAAGAATTTTCAAAATAGTAGAATTTTTTTCACGGCAACTTCAGAAAACTAAAAAAAAAACTTGACTTTCTACCCTCCGTATCCCCGTTACTGATCCAGATTGGACTCAAGATTTCAATTTTAGTGAGTACATTTCATTGCATTTTCAACGAAGTTTGTCAAAGAATACAATTTAAGCTAAACATAAGCAAAATTAACATGTTCTCGAACGTATATGCTTATTTATCTCAAAAACGGTTCGTTTCTCGAAAAAAATCGAGAAGAAAAAAAAGCCTCTAAATTGAACGATCCACACAATATGATCACTGAAAGATACCAGAGGCGTACTACGAAAAAGTTTGAAGGGGATAAAGAAGCCTCTACCTCCAAAAACGTATCACCCTGTAGATTTTGAAAATCTTTAAAATGCTTGTAATGATGATCTATCAGGAAGTATTGACCACACCAAATTTCAAAATAATATCTTGAAAAGTTATAACTCGTTATTTATGTTAATTGATTCGTTAATTGATTCGTTTTATTATTGTTAATAAAGTTTTGGGTTTGATCATATAATTTTGCATTACAGAAATATAAAGAAAACTTTAATATTCAAATGAGCACTTTTGTATAATTCAGATCTATTTTCCCAATCATTTTGCATTAATTGAAACCATCGGAATCTAGATTTCTATCGATATGACAGTGACATTAGCTTTACCACCAGCTCAATGACTTTATCGCCCACCGAGCGGTAAAGTAGTCCGCGGGCGGTAAAGTGCCACTTTACGCCCGCAAACCCGGGCGGTAAAGTGCTACCTTATATACGTCCGGTCGTGCATAATAGTTATTTATGTATCAAGGGAATTATGAGGGCCTTAATTACCGATGGCAAAGTTTGCGTCCCGAGGGCCTCTGGCCCGAGGGACAGCAATTGCCTGAGGTTATTGAGGCTCGGTAATTCCCGTGATACATAGATAATTTTATTTCTGACTGATTTCATTCATTAGATACCTTCCCGATTGGAAGTTAGACATGTTTTTCCGTATAGTTTCAATGTCATCAGAACGTCAGATGATGATCTTGACTACCGCGAATAGGAGATTCCTTATTGCTGCGTGGTTGTTGCTATGCATTTCTTATTTAATTTTAGCTAGAGATGGCTAGAGGGAATTATAGCATCTATAACATCCCAAGGGAGTTATGACCCTCATAATAGATATCGTAACTATGACGATATAAGCTTATAATGTCACTGTCAGAAATAAAGAATATTATTACCACGGGACCTTATGCCCCTCGGCTAAAGCCTCTGGATATAATATTGGTCCCTGGGGGATAATGATATTCTTTACCATCTTGGTGGATGAAAAACTATTATTCACAACCATATATGTATATTTGTCATTACTAACGTCATTGAAGGTTGGGAAGTGTCTCATTACACACCTCTACTACCCGTCCTCACTCATGTAATATTTTCGGTATGTTCCGAAGAAATAGAGATTTATTAATTCTGATCGAAATATGATGATTGTGAATAAAATAGTATACAAACCCCTGTAGGAAGTTCTCTTTCCACCACGGTGTGTAATATACTATTAAATTCTTTTTGGTTATTTTAGGCATTTGGAATGTAACTTGGGTCAAAGTTTAAAGGTTGGGTATTACTTTCTGACTCGTTATTTATCTCACACAATGTTGATTCGAATGATACATACGCTTCAAAAACTTTCCCTCTGGTGGACATGACCCCCGCTCCATCAGACAGTCGCCATATCTCTTCACCAGCCTGGTACTGGCGAATACGCTCAACACATCAAAATTGTCATACTTGGTGGAGTATTTCTCTGGTGCCGCCCTCTGGGACCTCTGCAATGACTTATTTGCGTCTACGTCATTTCCTAGCACTAATACAATAACAAATATCGATAAAATAGATTTATAATCCATGTTCGAACTAGTGTTCACCGAATCTCATAAGAGCGATGATTCGACTGGAAAAATAATGATTGGGTTCATAGTTCTGGTCGACATCGGGTACGATATTCAAGGTAGACAACAGTCTGACATTATGGATATAGCATTCTTTTTTTGACTGGTCAGGATGTTTACGTTCAGGTACTTTCGAAGATTGTCTGTTTTTAATTGCCAATTATTGTTTTTATTCTCCAGGCATACGTATTAGTTCCATTATTTTCAGGTTGAACAGAATATACCAACATCTCCAACGTATATGGTGTTGGCAATTCTGAAACAAATAAAATAGGTACCTCACTGATATTCAGAAAGGGATGAAAAATATTTTTTCCGCCTACCTCTATGCAAAGTGAACATTTCCTGACCTCATTGAAGGGATCAAAGTCGTTCTTTTCTTCCCTAACTTTTCTTCCCTAGGAAGGAAAAGTAAAAGCGACGTCATACGGCATTGACGACCTAAACTATAAACTATTATAAGGGTAATTTCACGTTATTCGACCAAGAAGCATTGTGACTGAAGCATTTGATTTTTTGACAGCTTTCTTTGGATGAATTGGGACCCATCAGTGCTACATTTTAAAAATATTTCTATGTTGTACAGGGGTGTGCCAAGATCACAAAATATAATTTCCTGTATATCATTGCATTCTTAGATTCTCCCTGAAGACCTGATTCCATATCAATTCATCATACTTGGGGTCTAGCAAAACTGATTACAGTCAATAAACCAAGATTCAGAAACCAATAACCATCCCTCCCTAGCTCAACATGATCTTTATTGAAGGAAAAGAGTTCTCCGAATCGTGAGGCATATCCTATAATAGGCTTTGTACTTAGAGTTGGTGTGAATTTTTTTCATCAAACTCATCGGAATAGAAATTATAAAAAAAGTGCTTTTTGAGTTTTGAATCAATTATTATAGCCTTGCCAGGATTTTTTCAGGCAACTAATTTTTTTAAAATAATTCTCAACATAAATAATTTTCATCCATTAACAAGATTGGGGAAGGTCGACCTCACTTCGGATGCTCTACTATATTTAGTTCTTATTTTCTTCATCATTCGAAAAAAAAAAACATCGGAACATAAATAGTATCTATGGAGATCGTCAAGAAATAACTCCATATGTTGCATTATTAAAAAGTAAGTAGGTTCCGCTGGAAGTATGATTCTGAAATTTCTTGCCCAACATCTACATAGTAATACTGTATCGTATAGAAACAACATCACCTGGAGTAACCTCGGAAAAAAAATCATTATAGAAAAGAAACTATTATATTTGAGTTTTTGGAAATATATCATAGAAACTTGTTGCATCGATACTACTCATAATTTTTCAACACTATCTATAATTTTATTTTCTCTACAGAAATCGAACTGATATCGTAAAAAAGTAATTCATCCTATTGTGAACATGAGAAATTGGCACATAACTGATATTGTATAGCGTAAAGCTGCCTCAATTAATAAATATTGAATCAATCATAGTATAGGAAACTGGAATTTTAACAGCATCAGATATTGGAATATCCTATTGGAATTATATGGAATATTCTAGAATATTTGTGGAAAATTCTCTATATATGCAAATGGGAATTTCTCAGATATTCATTGTATATGTCTAGAAGAATATGCTACCAGAGCAACGCCATAACCATAGACCGGTAATTGAATTGAATTATGCAAATATCAATTTCTTGAGGGAGCAAATTGGATCATAAAAGCTTTTCGTTTCAGAATCTCCCTACATATAAATAATGTTTGATAATCACATTTCAGGAATTATTATTGATTTTCATATTCTATTGAAAAGCATGGAAATATTCAAGTAATATTTCATGGATACACCCCGCAGAACATTCAGTTGGGAATATTTCATGAATATGTAACACAGGATATTCAGTTGGGAATATTCTTGGAACATTCATACCTGTACAAATATTCTCTGAACAACCCAACTGGAATAATTTGAGATTATGCATTTCTGAATATTTTTGATGAAATATTCCTTGTATATATCTTTGGATATATTACTGGGATATTCTCATAGGAATATTCCTTGGATGTTCCAGAGGCATGTATATGTTCTAGGAGTATTCAGTGGATATTCGGAATATATACTGATCGTTCTATTAAGCATATTGAGAGAATATTCTAGGAATAGCCACCAGTACTGTCTGGGATCTGAATTATATTTATTGATATAAAAGTACTTCAATGATATGAGCAAAAAAGGCACTCTGAAGCACCTTCAAATCCCGAGAAAATAATTGAATAATAATAACCGATATGTAACCTTAACACGCTATATTTTAAAATCTGTTCAATAAAGAACTAAATTTTGCACATTATATCAGTTTACTGTATACTACAACATTTTGAAAATTCAGGAAATTTCATCGAGAACAATTTTACCTATGATAAGTGTTGGGTCCTTTTCGACCGACACTCTGCTTTACAAAATATATCTTCTCTAAACCTTGGTATTCAACTGATACCTAATTACTATTATGATTATGATAATGCAGACATTTTTTAGTGAATCATCAGAGGAAACATAAAACTATCAGCATTATCAATCTACTCCACTCATGCAAGGATTATACATATTGTATAATCACTAATTATGACTGATTATAAAAAATATAATCATAATAAAAGTATAAGTCCAGTCTAAGCAGCCTTCTCCTTGAGATCTTTATTCGAAATAGAATAGATGATGACTTACGGTTATATTTTGTTTTTATATCGAGACGTCTGTAGCAACGGCCACACAAACAACTACAACTTTTTTTTTGGAAAATTTCGTTAATTATCCGATGGTCGAGGCTAATTCATTGCCAAACCATCAAAAGAATTGCCCCATCCCACTCAGGATTCCTATAAATAATAATAACAACTGGTTCCAAATTGTCAGTAAGCCGATTTCGGTTAAAGAATAATCATGATTCGTCTTTTGAGTGTTTTAATTTTATCAGTCACTTTGGTGGTGGTTACATCCGATGACAGAAAAGATAGGAGCAACGTTCCTGGTTATACCACCAAATACGACAACGTAGACTTGGAAGCCATTGTGGCCAACGAAAGGATCCTAAGAAACTATGTTGACTGCTGCCTGGACAAGAAGAAGTGTACTCCCGACGGTGAAGTACTGAAAGGTAAGATTTCAAATCCTGAACTCTTTTTGAAATTATAAAGAGTTGTTTCGTTATCTGCAGATTCTAAGTAGGACATCTAACTGTCCCTCCTGGTTCGATCATAATATCGACTTCGATATTCTGAATAAGATCCCAAATATCAATATGACACATTCGATCGTGAGTTTCTAGTTAGAATGAAAGAACAATGAATATCATTTCAAATGCTTCTTGATTTATGAGTAGGATATTACATATTATGAAATTTATCATGAAACGAAATGGTGAGCAAACACAAAAAATAATATTGTAACTTTGCTACGCTGTACTGATGATGTCCATCATGCAATAACACTGGAACGCATGCGTCTGCAGCTATACTCTATCTTATTTTTAGGGGTTTGCCCACTAATTTTTCTCATGTTATTATTTGATTCGCCCTGATTTACACTTCTACAAGATGATTTAATTTCATGTATTCGAAGAGTCAATTATTATTTTAAGGAAAATTAGTTTTTCTTCGGCTATGAAACAATAGTATATTGTTTAACGAGCTCGGAATGATAGTGATTTCCTACGAGTAGAAAATGAGCATTCCGTTATACCCTATGATTTTCCTACGGCTATAATAGATAACAGCGGCATTTTCGATTTCTTCGTCTTCCTCATCTATTAGACAGAGCTGTCATTGCATCACATTTGACATTCCATGAGCGATGAGATTTTTTTGAAATAATAACACAATGGAGTCATTGTGATATCAGATGAGAAAACAGTTTTGCTGATATACAAAGTACCTCATTGACGTATCGAACACAGTAAAACAAGAGCAATGTTGTGTTATAGCCGTAGATAGAATTGCTCTTGTTTCACTGTGTTTGATACATCAATGAGGTACTTTGTATGTCATGAATTTTATTTCCGTATCTGATATTATAATGACTCCATTGTGTTATTCTTTCAAGAAAAAAATAAGCATTCCTTGACAGGAAATCAGATGACTACAAGACGAAGAAATAAAAAATGCCGCTGTTATCTGTTGAAGCCGTAGATGAATTATAGTGTATAACTCTCAGGGAATGCTAATTTCCCACTTAAATGATTGCAGCATGCTCGTGGGACATCACTATCATTCCGTGCTCGTTAAACAATAAACTATTTCTCAATACGATAGTTGATTTCGAATGTAGCATGACGTAGACTGTTGGTTGAACAAAAATGTTACATTCATTTTTTTGACGTTGATCATTGCAACATAACTAAAAAATTTCGAAATGTGGCTTACAGTATAGAATATTCATTGTATAATAAATTTAAAAAATTCCGATTCATGAGTTAATTCTTTTATCTCAACAATCATTTCTATTCAACATATATTTGAATTCAAAAGTTACAAGCGAATTCAACAATCATTATCTAGCAGTGGTTAAATGAATCTGGATTCTATGTAGGTATCGGTCTCTGTGAAATATGTAAACGAAGAATCTAACGACGAAATAAATCTCAATAGTCAAAAATACGTCTCTGAACATTTACATGAATGCAACATATTAATTTTTCGTAATCCCATTCTTTAATTTTGATTTACTGGTATTCAGATGACAATTGAAAAAGTTAATGTTAACAGATTGAAGAAATAAACCTCTGGTGTACGCACTTCAATCCTTTTCTGTTTTATAATTCCTTGATTTTCGCCTACTTCGATAAACATAACATAGCGTGGGTGAATATCGTAAAGTTTAGTCTGGTGCCTTACCAAAATTACAGGCACCCATTTTCACCGGGAAGATCAAGTTTTGAAATAATTTCAAATCACGTGACAACTATTGTGGCCGAATTGTGATCAATGAAGATAGGGAATACATTTTGTGATTTAGCCGCATCAAGGTTGGTAGAACTGATGTTGATCATAAGTTCTACCTACCTTGAGTCGCACTAGGAATCACGCCATCTAACATTCAATATGTAAACCCCACGTCATCGTCTGAAATTCAGTTGTTTATGTTAAGAACCTGTCTCACGAAACACATTCATCAATAACAATTTGAATTTAAAAATATCCAACTGATGACGTGGAAAAAAGTATTAAATCTGATGACCAACTATTAGTTGCTCTGATTACAAACACATAACAAAACAATAAAAACAAATCACCGAACATTTGTTATTTTTTCAGGTCATATCAAAGATGCCATAGAAAATGAATGTGATAAATGCAACGATGTGCAGAAGAAAGGGATTCGTAAGGTAGGAAAAGCTCTTTATACCAAGCACCCCACATGGTGGAAGGAGCTTTGCGACCATTTCGACCCAGAAGCCAAATACCAGAAGAGGTACGAGAAATTCATCCAAGATGCCCTAGCCCAAGAAGATTAGGCCACACCCTGTATAGTGGATAGAATGTATTTTATCTACCGATCTTGATTGGCCACAAAATTTCACTATGTTTCAATTTCACCAGCAAACAATAAACATCTACATTGCATCTCTGACTTTTTCCTCACTAATGTATTATGCTTGACTGGGATGATAATGAATATGGCATCAATGGGATTGTTGAAAGTGTATTGTATGGAAATAAAAAAAAAACAAAAAATCATGGCATCGAGCCTATTATAAGCAATATTTTATAAATTTTCTCAACAATCAAACATATCTCATGGCGGTATCACAGCCGTCTGAGAACAATTTGAAAAATCTCAATCATATTCCAACCACCAGCGTAGATAAGAGGGGGGTCACTGGGGGACAGTACCTCCCCCCTCCTGAAAGCACAAAAATAGTAAAACAGTAAAAGACTTAGAAACAATAATTAATAATGAATTCAAAATGTTTTATATCAACAGGTTGATGCCTGATTATGTTCTATACCAGTGATTCAAAGATTCTAGTAAAACAAGTTTCTGAATATGTTAGTAAATTTAGAAATGAATTCTTTCCCAAACATTTTAGTCAGATTTGTTGCAATCAAAAATAGATCTTTGGAAAAATGAATGGGAAGAAACCAAAAATGAACCGATAATAATTTACCCAAAGAAACAGCCTTAGATACTCTACAGCATTGCAGTATCGAAATATTTCCCAGTATTTATACACTCCTGCAGATAAAATATGTTATGCCGGTGAGTGTGGCGAGGTAAGACACTGAAATCATGGTTGAGGTGTACAATGGGTCAGGCTAGTCGGATTAAATTTTTATCAAAGATTCATAGATATATTGAAATAGGTAGAGATGCTGTTAGCGATAGGTTTTCCTCGAGGTTTTCAAAGCAATGTTAAAGACTTTGTTTTATAATCTAGTCACGGGGGTACCTAATATTTTGTTAGTTAGATTCAATCAAGAGTTTTGAATGATACTTTATATTATCTAATGGTGAAATTGAGAGGTTATTCCGTTTTTTTTTTCATCTAGTTCATATAATACGCATATCAAATATCTTTTCATCGAGAATATTTATCTTGATTTGTTCATTTGAATGACTGATAATTGTTATTTTGACAATTTTGAATATTCTGATATATAAAAACAGCTTTAATAAAAGTTGAAGCTAATAAACCACCATTTTGTGTTGATTCATTATACACTGAAACGCGTTGTACTACTAGGCAACCCCCAAATCATAATTTAATTTCCGCTACTGAGTACCCCCCTTAAAAAAAAAAACATAACTACGAGCCTGATTTCCAACAAAGGTGGTTATTCTGTTTAAGAATGTAAAAAAACTCCCAAATCAAAGAATGTGGAATGATAGAGGATGTTCCATTTGAAATTTCGAGACCGGAAAAAACCTAATGAACATAATGTCCTGGAAGATTGATTAATTAGATCTGTATCAGGCTTCTGAAAACAATCATGAAACAAAAACATCACGAGGCATTATTGTAGTGGCCACTCGCTATAGATGATTGCAGGTAGAAATACTCTCAGAAGCAATAATTGAAAAGTATTTATCAGTAAAAACACAAGAACTTTTTTCTTATCGAATAAATTTTTCTTGGGAAAAACATTTGCCGATCAGTAATTTTACGAGAAAAACTGACATAAAAAAATTGCGAGACCCTAATAGGTCGATCAATTTTGTCTAATGTCAGTTATTCGAGAGAAATAGGTAACTGATGAAAAATATTTGATTTAGTAAGGAAATTTATTCAATTAAACAAAAGTTCGAGTGTTTTTTGGCAAGATAAATCGACGACAATATACAAATAAATACCCGCCCACCAGTACATCGAAGAAGAAGAAGAAGATTCCGTGTAACTGGTTGTTTGTGGAATTGATTTTCTCATAATTTCGTGGTTCCTTCAGACACAATTTTCCTAAAACGGCTCATCTTTCTAATTTACGCGTGAACCATACCCATCAATCAAACTTGACACGACAGAAATTGGAGTGACATCAGGCGCAAATAGCTACTGGATCAAAGGAGTCTATCACCTATAAGAAAGGTGCGTCATTTTTTATCGATGTCAAAATGACTGACGTCGTCGTCAAACAGCGTTTTCCGTGTATTATACAGGGTGTTTCAAAAAAACCTAACCCCCTTGCTAGGGTAGGTAGAACATTGCAAAATAAGTTGGGTTTGCTCAGTGAAAAATGTCGTAACGGCATCAGTTTTCATGATACAAGGTGTTGAAAAAATTATTTTTTAACACATTTTTCACGATTATTCCGAAACTACTGGCAACATTGTGATGAAAATTTGTATGGATGTTTCTTGAAATCTGACACATCGCATGAATTTGTTTTTATATCTGACTCTCATAGAGGGCGCTATAGTTACACGGTTCGTACCGAGTAGTTTTGAACATAACTTTTTTGAGGTTAAATTTTTCAATCCAAATATAATATGAACTTGAACATCATTCAATTTTACACCAAAAAGGTACTCGATACTATGTTCCGTTTTCGGAATATTTCGATTTGAAAATAATAGAGTAGTAATGATGCTGGTATAAAATGAATTTTATTGAGTTGAATTACCTATTTATTCAGGTTCAAAAACAATGAAATTATTCTTGTGCTGGAGTTATTGAGGGAACAAAGAATCATGAGTAAAAAATTAAGGGATATTTGACTAGAAACATGAAATATTGAATCAGAGTAAGTGTTCAAAATGTCCTACGTTTCGAGAAATACACGATTCTATATTCTTTTTTAAGGATGAATTATTCTTCTGAACAGTTGAGGATCAGCTGTTAGGTCATTTAAGTGATGTTCGATTATGTCTCACAACTCTTGACGTGAATTTACCTATGTAGCATAGACTTTCTGCTCAAGATACAACAAAACTGTGTAATCCATGTTCTTAGTCAAATCTGTTTCGATGTTATTCTTGTGATTCATTGTTAAATCAATGACTTTGCATCAGAAATGTATTGTTGGTTTCGGTTTCAAATGAATAGGTGATAATTTTTCATAATACTCACTCTAATACATAGCTTTATACCAGCAACATTTTCCACTTCATCATTTTCAAATCGAAATATTCCGAAAACGGAACACAGTATCGAGTTTTACCAATAGTATCTTTTTAATGTGATATTGAATGATGTTCAAGTTCACATCAAATTTGGATTGGAAAATCTAATCTCAAAAAAGTTATGTTCAAAACTACTCGGTACGAACCGTGTAACTAGCGCCCTCTATGAGAGTCAGATATAAAAACAAATGCATGCGATGTGTCAGATTCCAAGAAACATCCATACAAAATTTCATCACAATGTTGCCAGTAGTTTCAACATAATCGTAAAAAATGTGTAAAAAAAAATGTTTCAACACCTTGTATCTTGAAAACGGATGGCGTTACGACATTTTTTTACTAAGCAAACCCAACTTATTATGCAAGGGGGTTAGGTTTTTTGAAACACCCTGTATATTATATTGTTGATATGGTACTCCACTTCAGATTTTTTCAATGGTATATTTGGATAGATTTGACCATTAGATATTCAACAATACCCTTCAGGTCTCGGAGTTAATACTAATTTTATCCAATTTTCTGTTAGGTTATTAGATTGTTGTGTAGGTTATTATAAGGAATAGAAGCAGCGTACCTAGTTTCACGAATAAGTATAATACAATAGTCAATTAAATTAAACTTATTTGGATCATCAAACTATCACACTAATCAATTCTAATACTCAGCATGCATTCAAAACACTTCCGATTATCATTCGATTCAAGACTTGACAATAGGTTCGATATTAACTTCGGTCTTCTTAGCTTCCAAATATCTTTTTTTATAGCTTCCGGAAGGATCGTACTTTTCCTGTAAAGGGTCCCAGTATTCCGGTTTGTTGTCTATAAGATATCTTATCATGATTTCAGACCCCTCCTTCTGTTTGTCGCTACACTTGCTGCAGTCTGTTTCGATAGCATCAGGCATATTTTCTGAAAACGGAAATAAATATTCAGCTAGGCACATTTGGAGCAGTGGTCAAACATTGGATATTGTATTTGAATGAGGTTTCCTCCAGACTCTTAATTCAGCCCACAATAAACCATATTCGAAAAATACATTAATGGGGGATTCCTTGACAAAACTAAAACAAAAACTTTGATGATTTGAATATTTGAAATTGATAACTGAACTCATACTTCCAAAATATTTCCAGATTGTAAATATTTTCGATCAAGAACTCTTTTCGTACCACGCAAAATCTTAATTGAAGTATCTTAAAAAGCATTAATTTTATCGGGTTGATTCAAGATTACCTTTTCCAGAGATTGGCTTTTCCATGTGAAATGAGCAGAGAGTAAGTTTCATGTACAATGGCAAATCATCAAGAGTATTGACAATAACAAAATAATGACGAAACAAATGCTACAAATTATGATAAAATCAACCAATTCAACGTCACTGATTCCCAATTTGAGAATAGAAGAAATTGACAATTTTGAACAATGTTCATCCATATCTACTACTCTCGTTTTTGGAGCTATGTCATTTTTGGAGCTATATGTCATTTCAGTTTCATTTCTGGAAAATAATCGATATCCTATGTTTTTAAACTCAATCTATATGGATCTCAAGTTCAGTGACATGATATCCAGGACAAAAATGAAAAAGACATGGATCCGAAACTTCTTCTTTACGGAATCCCAGTACCTACCCCAAAGATGGGCTGCCACGAAGAGTATTCTAGAGAATTGAATCATCTAGAAGTATGGTTCAAATTAAGGAGGTGCAGATTTAAAAATCACTTCTTGACATAATTTTGTTTGATAGGATCTTCGACACCGTTCAATGAATATACTTAGAACATCTGTGGAAATCATTAAATAAAATGGGTTTTCTTTCATAGAGGTTGTAACACCCTGAGTTTTTGGACAACTTAACTTGTTTTGTTATTGCTGTTTGGAATCAGCTTATTAAATATTTTGGTGTAGCTTAGGTCTTTAGGTTAATCGAGGAAGTGGTACATTGATTTTTCTTGATTATTTGATTTTCTCTGATTTGTCCTGCTACACGTATATTGAAATACTACTATTTTTTTTCTGTGACGGGAAAAAGTTTGAAATTTCATCTCTATTGACAAGTTATAAAATGTCACTTCTCATTAATTATTTTTTTCCCACAGGAGAAAAGTGAATACTTTTTCCCCGATATATACACATATATATACACTGTTGACGGCTATAGTTCTGAAAAATAAGCCAATAACACCGTCTCCGAGAAAGAACTGCAAGTCCCTATATCTTCCATTCGACTTCACGATTACGTAAATTACTAAACAATCAAATCACAGAATTGGACTGACAGTTATTTGATTACTTCAAAAGAATGATGAAGATTAAAGATTCCTGCAACGCAGGTGTCATTCCTGTTGAATACTTCAAATTTCGATAATTTTCTGATTTCAATATAATATAATATCTACTCAATATTGACTCGTCCTTTTTTCTGTCACAGGAAAAAATAGTGTATTATACACGGGAAAAATATTAGATTTTAGCTCACGGTTTTTTGTCTCCCGACGCGTAGAAGCTAAAATCTAGTACTTTTCTCCTTTGTATAATAAATAACTATATTTTATAGGAACGAGGAGGGAAAATCCCAAACAATCAAGCCAAATAAGTTTATATCTATATCCGATCAAGAAATGAGGAGTTTGCGTTCAAAAGCGGATATATCCGTTTTTTAACCGATATGCTTTTTTCGCGAATTTCGGCTAAGTTCCACAAGATCTATCAACTGGCACGATCATTGCGTTCAAAACGGGCTATATGTATTTTAAAATCGCATATAAAGTCGGCGTTTTGCATCAAAACTGGATAATAATATATCCACTTTTTGCGATCAAAAGTTGTTATATCCAATAATTCGTTATATCATTGAGAAATACGTCTCAGGCTTCTAAAAGAGCTGTTTGGTGAAAATTGGATGTCACGAGCAGATCTAGAATGGTATAAAAATTTACTCATTTCTAGTAATGCAGATGCAGAAACTAGTGACCAGGAAGAAGATGAGGTAGAACAGGATGTTCCATGTGACTGTTTAGATGAAGAACCTGCTCTTCATATATAAATATTTCATGTATATCTTGTTTTTTGTGTTCCATGTTGATTTTACATAATGAAAATATGTTTAGTGTTTCAGTTTTATGATAAAAATATGTTTTCCAGCATTTTTATTCTTTTTATCTTATGGCGAACCGATGAGAAGTTTTCGTCAATTCCTGCACATTTTTCCTGAACGGATATATCCGCTCTTGAACGCAAGCTCCTCAAATAGACTATAATCTATAGTATATGTACAGGGTGTCCGCTAAAAGGATGTCAACCATTAACCATATATTCCTTGAACGAAAACAATATGAGTTTCTAGATACCATTTTCCATTTCAGCCCTTCATATTCGATAAACAGGGTGTCAAAGTTGGAAATTAAAGACTGTTTTTTTTAATTACTCGCGTATTTAATGAGGTATCAATCTCAAAATTGGTACATTACTTCAGCACGAAGAGTTATTATTTGTGCTATGGTAATGTGGCAATTTTGAGAATAATATATAATGGAATACTCGAGTAATAAGAAAAAAACAGTTCTTGATTTCCAACTTTGACACCCTGTATATCGAATATGAAGGGTTAAAATGAAAAATGGTATTTAAAAGCTCATATTGTTTTTGTTCAAGGAGTGTATGGTTAATGGATTGACCCCTTTTAGCGGACACCCTGTATAGTATGGTTTGACGGAAGAAGATGTATTGGATATACGACCGCTGATAAGGATAAAGAATAAACTTACTTTTGAGTTCCACTCCATCAGGAGTACATTTGCCCCTCTCTAGAAGACAATCTACATAATTTTTCAATAGGCGGTCATTCTTGACGATATCTTCTACATTGATATTGTCATATTTCGTAGTATACTTTGTTTTTTCTGTGACGGCCGATAATGACATAGTGATGAGATATAAGAACATTACGGGTAGCAACATTATCTGAAAATAAAAATGATTATTTTCTTCGAATGATTTTAAACCAATCAGAACGTTTAATTGAGACAAGCTACCTTGTATATAATCTCGAATAAACGTGGATATACATAGAGTTATTCCACCAATCAGAAATTTTGAATTATTTCCATAGTTACCAATTCATATTGTTACATAACGCGTTGTCAAATGTTAACGTTCGTTCAGACCTACTCAAAAAATAATCGCATCGAATACGATTCGAACAATAAACTAGGCAAAGTTATACATCTCAAACTTCCTGCATAATTACAAATCGTGTAAGTTCAACAGATTAATCCTCCCGCTTCGTGGTCGGATTATTTATATAACTGGCAAACTGACACTCTTGGGAATTATGCAACAAGTTATCGATGTGTGACTGGAATATTCTGAAGTAGTTTTAAAGGATATTTCATTTACATTACTCGTTGAACCGGGTTACAGTATTTTGGTGAAGGTGGTGGGAGGCAGCTACATCATAATGACGTCAAAATTAACCATTTTGGAATTCCTATTCCTTTCACCTCACCTAGTTTACCCAGTTGTAACCTCCATCTTTCATTTTGAATCCGAAAGAAAAAAGATTTGTTGTTTATATATGCTTTATTGTTAATATGTAAACCTAATAAAATTTATGTCTACAAAAATTTCAAATCAGAAGATTAAGTTGTGTACAGCCATATGTTGTTAATAGATGATTCGACTTTTATTTCGTTAGGAGGAAAATAATTCATTTGATTGAAGAGAAATCATCAAAGTATTGCCACCATAACTGATGCTCTAAGAGGTATTCTTGAGATAACCCTTCTACATTCGCCATAAATTATAAATAGATTTAAGTAATTTTCATTGGAATAATTGAAACGAGCCGGCATGATTGATTACGATGACATTTCCGTGGCAGTTGATAGTTTCCAACGCAACTGCGGGCGCCATGGCAAACTAAGAATAAACTCAAGAATACGAGATTTTCTGGAACTGAGACATGTTAATTCGCCAAAATTTCGGAAAATGTTGAGTGTAGGCATAGCTAACCTCATTCAATTGATGCCGAATCGAATGAGAATATAAAATTGGGGGGTTTCCATTTGAAAAAATTTACTTTCAATAATTTTTTAAACCGGATCTATATCATTTTCTGGTGAACGCCCTGAGTACTGAGTTCTCTCCTAATAATAAATCGATACACAATCGAAAATAAATGATCATGTCCAGAAATAAGAAAAAGAATTTCGGTCTGCAAACGCAATATTCAACTTGAAATTTGAAATATTTCGAAAACGATTTGACTTGGGTATAGGACATTATACATGAAACGGGTTCAGAATCATGCGTTAAATCTAAAACCTTGATAATATACAGGGTGTACTTTTTGAAATAACGAAGTTGGGGTCCACTTCCGGTACAACAGGAAGTGCCACAATCTTCAAAATAGTCTAGCAGGATAGCACTTATCAAAAATAGTAAACTCTAAAATTTTCAAATTCGGCCCACCTATATATGGTTTTCTATAAATTGATCGATGCAGTTCCCGGAGGGACACCCTGACTGTACCAAATTTCCGAAAAATCCATTTACGCATGAAAAAGTTACAGGGGTGGACCATTACCCTTCATAACCTAGTATAGGTAGAAAATTTAAAGAAATGAGATATTACAAATGAAAAAGGAATGTTTGCAAATCAAATATTATAGATACAAAAGCTGAACAATAAATAATATGTATATAAATCGATTCTATTTGTGACAATTAATTTCAATTATTTATATCGACAATTTGTTCTTCGCTTTCTGTAGTGAGTAAATATTCGATATTCAAAATTATTTTCTCATGAACTTGTCTATTAGCAAATCTTAGATGTGAAATACAAATAAACACAAATCAACTGGGAATTGATTTTTCAATATTACTATTACAATAGCTTATTGGAACTTACGTGGAGATATATAAGTAGTATTTCTGTTGATTATAGAATACACAATAATTCTCAATGCGTATTGAATAAAAACTGAGTGACTGAATTGGAAATTGAATATTATTCTTTTTATATCAACAAGGTGGGACCAACTGACTTATTATCCACTTCGGAACAATGTCAAACAAATTTCTTGCACGAATTCTTTTCGACGTGAATACATAAAATTGCTATAATCGGATAATGAAGTATCTTGTTTTACGTTGGAATTGTCTTGTTGAATGGCAACTCAATATACATATATAGACAAACAACGATACATGTGGTACTACTTTCTTAGCGTTCCTTATGAAATTTTATGTTCAAACTTTACATGAAATCGAAAAGTGTGCATTGAAAAATTCAAAAGTGAGTATATAATTTATAGAGACATGTTTGTAAAGGACGGAAGTGTTCTATCTCATTATTTTGACTATAGGTCATACATATATTTCGAATTTGGTGAATTGATTCATAATAATGAATGTACAATGGACCAGTACCTGTTATATGTACAGTGTGTGCGATTTCAACCCGCAACACCCTACTAATTTGGAACCCGTCTACTGATTCACAAAAACAAAGAATTCCATAATATAGTACTCAACGAGTTCTATTCAGGAATGTGAACAAATTTAAAATATTCAAAATTTCAAGGCCTACTTTTATTTGTTGAAGGGGTCAAAATATCAAAAACGACTATGAGGCAATTTTTTATCGAAACTGTGACTAGCCTATTCGATTCATCAGGCATAGCTGGAAAAAATCCATTCGAAATTTGAACGCGAAATCTTCTATAGGGTGTTAGTTGTTCAGTGACAAATTTTGATGTTTTTGATTTTTCGATTCACCCTGTATCAAAATCTAAGGAGTTGATATAACCCGGGAAGTAGTGATTCAATGGAGGAACACATCGGATACTCAGATACGAAGTTTCATCGTTGTAAGTTCTACAGGAAGATCTCTTTTGGTCAACCAAAAATTAATGAAATTGAAGTTGACTTTTTCGATATGATCCATTTTTTTTTCCTGAAAATATGAATAATGTCAACTTATTCGAGGAAATATCCTCTATACATAACAATTTCCATTGTCATCTCAAAATTCCCTTCTATTTCGCCAAAATCGGTATTTTGTAATGATCACAGCAAAACTCCTTGCAGTTTGGAGAGTCTGTCATTCTTCTTGTGTTATATTCGACAGTTCTTTATCAATCGGGAGGATTTTCAAAGTAACTGTGTGGTATATACCTTAGGACAAGATCCACATTTGAGTTTGTATACCCCTGATTTTTCGAATTTAGAAGTTTTGTCTTTATTATTTATTATGTTATTTGTTCTATATGCCACTTTTAAGTCCTGTTTATGTAGAAATGAAGCTTATTTCTCAGTTGATGATCCATTGATGATAGAAATAGAATAATAATCAAAATTACAAAATTATAGAACTTTAGCCTATTTCGGATCATCAACTGAGAAATTAGCTTCATTTCTACATAAACAGGACTTAAAAGTGGCATATAGAACAAATAACACGTTGGGGCGGTTTATCAAGAATAATAAAGACAAAACTTCTAAATTCGAAAAATCAGGGGTATACAAACTCAAATGTGGATCTTGTCCTAAGATATATATATGTCAGACAGGTCGTACGTTTAATCAGCGCATTCATGAATATAAGATCAATTTTATGAAAAAGAAAACACATTCAACATACGCCAACCATACAGGGTGGGCCACCAGTAACGCCTCGGTCTCTAGAAGGCTAACCACTTATCTTCTTGGAATTCTTCCTCTCTAGGAAGTTGCATGTCAACATAGGCTACCATTTAAAATTATTTCGAAACATACAGGGTGTCCCCAAAAACCATAAAACACTGAAGTTAAACTTTTTTTATCGAACACCCTATATATTATTTCATTTTGAGATTCTCCCTGATGAGCTGATTTCAACGACCCATCATACTTGGGGTCTAACAGTTATAATTACTGAAATATAGGGTGTGAAAAATCGAGACTTTCCAAGTTCAAGAATTTTTTGTGTCGAAACTATTCATAATTGGTCAAAACGGCTTACATGTCCCTATCTCAACTTTTGATTAACTATCTACTGATATTTAATTGGGACATATACCGGGTGATCAAGATTCTGAATTCTGCACCACCCTGTATTTGTTTCAATTAAATGTCAGTAGATAGTTGATCAAAAGTTGAGATAGGGATATGTGAGCCGTTTTGACCAATTATGAATGGTTTAGACACAAAAAATTCTTGAACTTGGAAAATCTCGATTTCTCACACCCTATATCTCAGTAATTATAACTGCTAGACCCCAAGTATGATGGATTGTTGAAATCAGCTCACCAGGGAGAATCTCAAAATGAAATAATATATAGGGTGTTCGATTGAACAAAGTTCAACTTCAGTGTTTTGTGATTTTTGGGGACATCCTGTATTGAAAAGGAATATTCTCAGATAAATTATGAACATACAAAAATGGATATATATTTATATAAAGCAATACATTGAGAATTCGCATTCTCTATGTGATGAGAATATTTACTCTTTTTCAGTTAATTCAATAGAAAACAACTTCTTTCCTGGCTATATGCCACGACGAACATTGAATTATATCTATTGAACACACACGATAAGAGTTTGAGAATAAAATATAAAAATTTCTGAAATTGAGAATTTGCATTCTCCTTCAGACAAAAATATGTATATACACACATCATACTGAATATTCAACAGAAAACAACTACTTTCCTGGCTATTCGCCACGTCGAACATTGAATTATATCTGATGAACATTCAAAAGGGGAACATGAAAAATAAAGAATATTCCTTTTCAACACTTTCATACCCAATCAGGGGGTTCAAACTTGAACGATGGAAACTTGTGATTTTTATAGACCTCTAATCGCAGATTCGTGATAGAGTCTCAATTCAGAATTCATTTCCACGCCCTGTATGATGAATGTCAATTTATCATACACCCAAAAGACATCCTGTATGTTTCAAAATAATTT